ATACATTGTAGAAGAAATAAGCCCTGTGATTTGTAGAACTCCTCCTCCTGTTCAGAAAGGAAAGGTGTGCTTTTCTTGTCTAGGCAGGCTTGCTACATGTTTGCCTTTGTCCAGCCCAAGACTCAGATAAACTAGCATTCTTGGTTTCTAGCAGCTGAGCAATCTTTAGCATTGCTACTTGGCAAAGTTCTGCAAGTCTTTGTTCTGGGTTTGGATTTCTTCCCATGGTATTCCCCCAAATAATTACTTTAGGATTCTTCTATTCATGTTCAGCCTCAAATTCATGGGTTGAAAATGTCTCGGTTTGACTTTTATTGCAGCACTCCTGTTGGTTTGGTATTTAAGTTAATATTCACTTTTGTTTTCTTTTGAGTTAGAACTTTTTAAAATATTTATTTTTATTTATTTGTGCATACAAGAACTGGGGTGTAGGCCAGAGGTGTGGGATGTGAGAGGATTCACCAGAGAGAGTGGGGAGCAGAATAGGTGGATTGACTGAAATATACGGCTGAGGGGAGCAGCGGGCAAAACAGGAGAGTTCTGCTGTGCCACGTAGCTTAGCTCCCTGGCTGGGATCGAACTCAGGTCTGGGATCGAACTACAGCTGCAGTGGCTGGAGACAGCTTGATCGTGCTGAGACTTAAACCCTGGGCCACCAGGGAAGCCCTGAGTTAGAACTCTTTTAAGTCATTTAAATGTGTCGTGTCCAGCCTGATAAAGGTAGAAAGGTCTCTCTTTTTTTTATATAAGATTTTTTTAAAGATTTATTTATTTATTTATATAAGCACTGGGTACAGTCAGAAACGCGGGAGGGTGAGAGAATTCACCAGAGCCAGAGCGGGGAACAGAACAGGCAGACCGACCAAATGCACTGCTGAGGGGAGCAGCGGGTGGCAGGAGAGGTCTGTAATCCATGTGGGACCCTCACCCGGTGGCCGGGGATCGAACTGGCGTTGCAGAGGTTGCGGGCAGCTTCGCAGCCCAGTGCTCAACCGCTGCGCCACCAGGGAGGCCCTAGAAAGGTCTCTTATCTCAGATGTTGTGTGTCTGGTTTAGCAACCTCTACTCAAAGCTTCTGCATATAAAATGCCCGTAGATCTGGATATTATCTCTTACCCTAGAAGCCTGGGGGCTGCTGTCCTGTTCTGACAAACCCCTCTTTCTTCAGATTCCTTGATTGCAAAATTAGGAACCCCTGGCCCTTAGCCCCATCTCCTTCAACCCCAGTGGCCAGATGATGTGGGTGTAGGAACAGTTTGCCAGGTTACTTGAGATTGGAGACAATGGAAGATCTTCACCTTCTGTTTGCTCCTTGTGTGGGGATCACAGGTGTGCTGGGAACAGATGAGAACTTTAGGACTTGCCCAGTCATTTCCATCATATAACTGTGGCTCCTAAAGGGGTGATGATGGATAAGAGTCCTCATATCCAAGTACCCTGATACCACACTCTGGGACACCGCTGTCAGATCTATCAGTAGTATAAGTGGCAGCTTTATAAGCAGGGTTCTAGAGTACTGAGCAGGAATGTGCAAGTCTGTTAAACTGACCCTCAATTCTGGTAACTTCTGGTTCAACTTCTGACTCCTGTATTGTAAAGAAAAAATCTTTGATGCAAGTGACTTCTTTCAGTGTCTTGCTTTTCTATTGCTACCTGTATGACCTTGGGCAAGGTGTCCTCTATGTTTTGGTTTTTGCAAGTGAACAGAGATACTGCTTATATCATGAAATTGTTATGGGGTTTAGTGAAAGGTTGGTTAATGGAGTTCTTATTCTTAGCAGTCTGTTTCATTGTTGGTGCTGAACAAATAACTCCTCACTTTCCCCAGAATTTAAATGCATAGCCTGCCTAGAAAGATTTTGTCAAAAGATTGTTAAATCAACTACATTGAAAGAATGAATTCCACCTGGTATAAACATACATGCTTTTACATTTTATCATCTTAAATAGTAATTGGAATCCATAGAGTTTCGGCATTACAGTTCTCTGAACTGGGAAGAAGGGGCTGGGTCAGTGGAAGGATGTCTCAGACACTGCTTGGGGCCATACACAGTTGTGAAACTGCAGCATTTTGACATCATAATCCTGCATAATTCAGGTTTAGTGCCCTTTTTAAAAATTTTTTTATTTTTAAAGATTTATTTATTTATTTATACAAGCACTGGGTACAGTCAGAAGTGCGGGAGGGTGAGAGAGAATTCACCAGAGCCGGAGTGGGAGCAGAACAGGCAGACTGATGAAGTACACTGCTGAGGGGAGCAGTGGGTGTGGCAGGAGAGGTCTGCGCACCATGTTGGACCCTTGTCGGTGGCGGGTGGCTGGAAACGAACCGGCGCTGCAGAGGCTCGCAGCCCAGCGTTCAACCGCTGCGCCGCCAGGGGGGGCCCGCCCCTTTTTTTTAAAGTTGGTGAATTCATTATTGAATTTAATTCTGCATTGTAAGGTAGATGACTAAAATTATTACCTTTGGTCTACCATGTATAAGCCTGGATAAAAAGAGCCCTCTTTTTTTTTTTCAGACTAGCAGAAATTTCTAATGATTATTTTGTCTATTTTGTCTCACTAGGTTACAGTAATCGTTGTAGGGCGTAGCAAAAAAGTGAATTTGCCTTCACAGGAATGTCTGCATTTGCCATTTTAAAAAGCTTCTTTATTGCCTCACTGCAGAACAATCTCAGCTCAGTGAAGGTTAGTCAGCAAGGTGTGGGGAGCAAGGAAAAGTAGTTTAGTGAGAAAGAAGCCATTATTAGCAATCTCTTTGTTAGTGTGTATATTGTGTTAGGTGTAATGCTTTGGGTTTAATGCTGTTTGGCACATAGGAATTTCTAATCTAAGATTAGAAATACCATCTTAAATAGCATCCATAAAAGGATGATTCACTGGGGAGACTAGGAAGTCTGTGATGCAATTTTGATAATTTAGATTGAACTTTAAAAAATTTTTTTGAATTTCTAGTAATTTGTTGCAGTTCCACTTATTCAGAGGTCATTGCTGATGAATATTTTTTAGAAATGTGGAATGTTTCCATGGCCCATCAGATCAAGGGGTCTTAAATATCTTGCTCATGGCCATATCCTCAGGGCTAGAACTGTGCCTGGTACACAGGTGTGGAATAGATAAATAAATACACTGATGCCGTTGTACTCTTTCCAGATAAATGCAGGTGCCACTGTCTTGTTAGGTAGGTTCGGACCAGAGTAACCCATGAGGAATTGAGGATGCTTTCTAGTTTGATTGGCAAAGTTAATAATTATGCATGTTTTGGGGTGGTCAGCAGTTGCTAGGGAACTGAGGAATTGAAAAGAGGCTGTTGACAACAGCCTTTTGGCTCTTGTCTGGGCATCTGTGCCTTGATACCTACGCCCACCTGCTTTGCAGTAAGGCCTGTTTGTGAGGGTGGAAGCAAGGCATGGGATAGTCTGAGAATACATATTTGCTTAAGAATGACTACTTTGGCCCCAAACACCTACTGTAGTAGAAGCCTCTTCTCTCTATATTTCACCCTTGTTCCCTTCTCTATAGCAATGAAGCTGCGATTCAGTCTTTTTGAGGAAATGGCTCAGCTGGCTTGGCTCTTTCATTTCCTTGTCAAGAAAGTTGATGTGACCTTGACCGTCAGTGGGAGACCTTCAGGGAGCACATTGTGTGTCTGGCTAGATTCACTAATGATTGAAAAGTACTTTTGATAACTCACCATACTGTAAGTATTGTGTACTGTTATTGTCCTAGCTTGAGGTGATAGACACTAATTTGCAAGAATCATTTCTGACTTACCTGGGTCATGCCAGGCACAGCGCTGCTCCCATGGAGGAGGCCTTCCATAAATACCACTGAAAGAAAATTGCTGCAGAAAATAAAAACAAAGAAGATATACTTGCTTTGAGTCATGGAAGAAAGTATTAATTTGCGGTCCAAGAAGTTAATAGAAAGTAACTTTGGATTTATAAAGTTCCTCTGAAGAATTGTTGTCCTTAAGAGTCATTTTTGCAGGTCCAAATCCAAACACCAGCCCTTTGTCCCTCATCGCTTGTGTTGTCTTGGGCTGGTGCAAGCAGCTGTGACCTGCTGTTCAGGGAGAGCTGGCTTACACTGTTGATTAGGAAAAGTCAGGATCAGGACTCCTCCCCCAGGGCCTTTTTCTTGTGCAGAGCTTGCTGTTAGAGAATCATTCTCTCCATGCACAGAACTTAGAGAAGGAAACACGGTAAACCTCAGGTGGTGAACTTTTCAGAAGCAAGAGTTGGTTTAAATATAGATGATCTGCTTTACTGGCAACTCAGAGGCTGGGAGGAGGCAGCGGTGGGACTTGTTGTACCTCTCCTAAGACAAGTGAGGAAAGACCTTGGCATCTGTACATGCGCAGTTTATTTATGAAATAGAAGCTTGCCTTAAAGAGCGGGCTGGGGGAGGTCGGAGTCCTAGGCAGCCTTTATCCCCTGCCTTCACTGGGAGAAAGGTGCCTCTCCAAGCTAGCTGTCTGTGAATTGCTTTCATCCCCAGAGAAAGATGGGGCAGCCAGCCTTAATTTATTACGCTGGTATTTATTGAGCACCAACTCTGGCAGGGGTGGAGACAGAAAAGCTGTGAAACTGACAGTCTCTGGGCTTGATTTTCTTTCCCAAGGAGGATAAACAATACCTCAGGAGCTGTAGCGTCTACTCAGAGAAATGTAATTCTTTTCAGCTTTAGAGGCTTGATTTATGCACACAGGAGACTGCCCAGAGCCAAGGGGGAGCTGATGCTTTGGGGAATGCAGCCCCACTCCCTGATCCTGTTCCACCCCACCGCATTGCAGACTCCAGCTCTAGGTGGGTCCAGGGCTGGCCCTCGTGGATTTGCAGCACATCCTCGTCAGTATTCCACAGCAGCTGTCTGGAGTTTTTTCTGCTGTGCCTGAACTGATGTCATTTCCCCCTTGGCAGACAGCTTCAGTTTTGCTGCGTCTGAGATATGTCATGAGAAGGTGGGGGTGGGTCAGAGCCAGGGGTGGGGGGAGTAGCTAGGAGAGCAGGAGAGAGAGTGCCTGCTTGATCCCAGGACTCTGTTTACTTTCTCCTCTTTGCTAAAGACAGCCGGTTAACTGCAACCACTGAGCACGCAGGCCCACCAGGGGAAATGCTCCTTCCAAGACCTTAACTTTTAGAAACGTTTGCTCCCATCGTTAGTGTGGACGATGCTCTTGCAGGATGCCTTTCCTTTTGGGTCTTAGACAGGTAATTGCACTGGTTGTACATGGTTTGGGTTCGGGAAGGGAAGAAGGGTGGCAGCTTGTTTATTGTACTACTGCTTGGGGTGGAGGGAATCTTTTAGAAAATGTCTCACAGTTATAATAGGCCAGTTCCTGTGCAGAATTTGCCAGTTGCTTCTTAGTTTCCCAGCCACTATCTTAACCCTTTCTGTCTCTCTCTGGGGCTCTGCATTCTGATTTGAGGCACCCTAAGACTGGTACCGAAGCCGCGTAGAGAAAACAGTTGATAAGTGACGCCGAGAGGGGAAGAAGCAGAGTGGGATTCTTGCTCAGAAACCCCCATTATTTCTTCTCCATTTTGATTTGGCTAATTGGCAGAGATTTCTTCACAGTTCTCTGGTTCTAAAGAGATTCAGAGGTGGGGAGTGATTTTTTGTTTAAAGGGAAGGGCTCCCAAAGGCTTTCTCTCTTTAACCATGAGGTCAGGGCTGCCTGGCTGAGGGACGTCCGGCATTCCTGTGAGGGAAGGGGGTGGGGGTGACCACATTTTGGCCTTTCTGACACAGATTTCAAAGCCAATAGACCCCTGTGGTAGAGATTTGATTGCTTTTTGAACCACTGTTTGAAGCAGGGGCACTAAATTATAGCCTGCAACCTAATGTGGACTGAGAAAACAGTAGCAGGACCAACTGCTGTCTGCTGAGAACACAGCTGTTGCCAACTATTTGTTCCAGGGCTCTGAGAGTTGGCCACCCCCACCCCCTCTTGGGTCTGAGAGGCACTTCTCTACCGGAATGTGTAACTGTAACCAGTGGTGGCTGTAAGAGGGGTGGGGGTGGACATGCACACTGCTCCCTGTTCCTGGGTAAGGAAAAGTCTTGATGAGATCCAACCAGAAGCCTTAACAGAGGCTCTGCTGGATTAATCTCACACAGAAAGGTGCTAGGTGAGCAAATCTCCCTTGGGTTGCCTGAAATTCTTTTAAATATCTCTCAAAAGCTCCACACTTTCATTGCTACTCTTGTCAATCTGCAGTGTTGCTTTATTGCAACTGATAGGCAGAGTGGGTAACCCCACTGAGTACCTCCTCTGTCCTCCGCCCCATCCCAAGACTTTCAACCTAAGGGCTGAGTGATCCCTGGCACAGATTTTGAGGATTTTGAGCATCTGAAATGGGATGGATGGAGCCCTCCAACTTTGTCAGCAGGAGTGGGAAGAGGGGGAGGGGAGACTGCTTGCTGGACTAGAAAGAACTGGGCTAGGGAACTGGAAAGACCTGTATCTTGGGCCCCCACTGTTTTAGGCAGGCCACTTACCTGCTCTGAACCTCCCCTTTGAAATGAATAATACCTACTAAAAGAGTTAGTGGGAATATTTCACAAAAGAATGCATGTAAAATATTAGCGCTGTGGCTGACTGAGACACATTTTGTAAATGCCTCTTTAAATGTAACTTCAGTACTAGTTTTATCTACTCATTCCTAAAGGACATAAGACTGTACAGGAAACTGGAAGCTGGGAGACAAATTCCTTACTGAGATGGAAGTGGGCCAGGCTGGAGCTCTTGTACCTGTCACCTGGTGACTTTGGAGCTAGGTGTGTTCCATGTGTTGTTATTCCATGTGAGGAAAGAAGGGGACTTGTGTTCCATCACTTCCACTCTGTTAAATGAGTGGTGGGGTGGCATTAAATTAAAGCCAACAAGGAGGATAAAGGACTGGATTGGTTGTAGTGGGGAACATCTCAATGGAACAACAGCAAGGGAATCTTGCTCTTGTTTTTGAAGAGTTTCCTGTAAGAAGGCTCAACGGGGGACCTCTTGAAGGCCCTTCTGCCCTAGACTTCGTTGATTCAAACCTTCTTTGTAAAAACCTTTTTTATGACCTAATTTTGTATATTTCTTGCATTTCTGCACCTGGTAATGTAACAATATTCTTTTTGGAACTATGTGAAAACCAGTCTTCTAAAGATTGCTTGGCGATCATTGTCTTTAAAAAAAATTATTTTGAAAGATTTTTACTTATTTTTGTGTAGAAGAACTGGGGTGCAGGTCAGAGGTACAGGGGTGTGTGTGAGAGGATTCACCAGAGATAGTGGGGAGCAGAACAGGCAGATTTACTGAAATGCACTGCTGAGGGGAGCAGCTGGCGAAACAGCAGAGGTCAGCTGCACCACGTGGGTTAGCTCCCTGGCCAGGGATCAAACTCAGGCCCTCTTGTGTGGTGGCACTGAGACTTAACCCCTAGATTACCAGGGAGGCCCCGTTCTGTCTATTTTTGAAATGATGCAAAAATACATATGCTGTTAGTTTTTATCTTTCATATTGTGCTTTTGTACATGTCTCTTCCTCTTAATCCGCATAACAACCCTATGTTACGTGGTAGTATGATTCTAGTTCTACAGCAGTACGGGCTTACAGAAGTTAAGCCACCTCTCTGAAGTTGAGCAGGGAAATGGCAATTGAAGTTTGGATATTTGGGTTCTAAAGCTTGTTGTTGTTTTTTCTCACAACCTAGACTGCACTACTAGTGTTTGACACTGGAGTAGGATTATTTTTGTAGTTGGGGCATGTTTTCTGAAGTGTGTATCCATTTGCATTTACTCTGGGGAAGACGTGCCTCAGTATGGAGATTTTGAACACTTAATGGATTTAGTGAATATAGACCTGGCACAAAGGATGCACAGGTAATTACTGTCCTCTTTCCAAGAGCTTCTACTCTGATGCAATGATGCCCAAAATGTTTAAGAATCACCTAGAAGTGTGCCTTTTTAAATTGTAGATTCTGGGGTCTCCCTGGTGGCTCAGGCAGTTGAGCGCAGCGCTGAGAAGCTGTCTGCAGTCTCTGCAGCATGGGTTCAATCCCAGCCTGCTGCGGAGATACCCACATGGCGGGGCAGACCTCTCCTGTCTTGCCCACTGCTCCCCTCAGCAGTGTATTTCCATCAGTCTGCCTGTTCCATTCCCTGCTCTGTCTCTGGTGAATCTCTCACCCTCCCACACATCTGGCCTGTACCCCGGTTCTTGTATGTATAAATCAATAAACCTTTTAAAAAAAATGTAGATTCTGTAGGTCAGAGGGGCAAGGGCCGAGGAATGTGCATTTCTGGTAAATTCCTAAGGTGATTCTGATGCAGGTATCAATAGTTTCTGGCCACATTTAGAGACACTCTGCTTCTCTCTAACATGGAAATAATTACTTGACAAACTGATGAGACTGTAGCAAGGAATGTCCAGGGACTGGTATAGCAGAAAGTGGGAAGACAGCTTAAACCTGTCGGGGTGGAGACGGTATGGAAGGCTTTCCTGAGAAGGTGATATCTGAGTTTTGAAGAATGAGTAGGAGTTTAGTACACATATGAACTGGGGAAAGAATATTTCAGACAGATCAGGTTGAAGTGTTGTTACGTGTTTTCTCCTGAAGATGATAAGGGAAACTTATCCCTGAGTCTTGGTATTAAGTATGGCTGAGGCATACTTAAGGATGGTGGCTCACCTACAATTGGTGGCTTTTATGACAGAGGAGGAATAAAACCTAATACTGTGTGCCGCATGAGTTCAGTGTCTGTCAAGGGCAGATAGGCCGTAGGCTGCGTTAGTTCTTCCATGCAAGGGACAGTTAAGATAGTTCACTGGAAGCTATGGTGTGGCTAAAGACTGGTCTTTCATTTTGTGCTTAGAGGAGCTCAAGTTCAGAAAAGTCACCTCCTGAACTTTTGGTTATGACACCATGTACCAAATTTTAGATTCAACATGGAATCAAGCATGCTATCCCTTTATTATCTGTGATCAGAAAATGGGTTTTCTGGTTAAGAGACAGTTTATCATGTATATCTATCAGATGGGTTAGTGATTTTCAGGGAACAAGTTTGCAACAGAATATTCTTAGACTGCTGATTTGAATGAATTCTATTTCCTGTTTCATTAAGGAAGCATTAATTTTTGTCATGTTGGAAGATTCTTGTGACCAAGATTCTGTATCTGAAAAGTATCATAGCATGCTGTGGATACAAACAGGTATAAATTCTATCCCTGCCCTCAAAGTATTTACCATCAGGTAGGGGAAGTAGCATTAAGTGCACATGTGTGGAAATTACAGCAGTTGTGAGTGACATTAGAGAGCAAGGGCATGCTGCCAGGGTTCAAAGTATAAAAAGGCAGCTTTTTGCACGTGGTCCTTTCCATAGTCTAGTAGTATCAGTTGTACTTAGCTGTATGGAAGGACTAGTTGATGATAAATCTAGTCAGTGGAATGCAGCCTAAATCCATCACAACATTGTGCCTCAGCATGTTGTCTGTTTCCGTAGAGGGGCCCAGTGTTACCCAAGTCGTCCTTATCGACAAAGTAAGGTGATCCTGATACTGGAAATGAGTAATCTCCAAACACTAGGGGCCTTCTCAGGCAGAGGGCCCTTATTCATGTTGAAATTTGGATGAGACATGGATTGAGGCACAGGGGTCAAGTTCTACCACATGGGACTGTTTGTATTCTTGAAAGGCAGGGCTGGTAACTAGAAGCCTTTGACTGACCCAAAGCTGAATGTGACAGGGCAGCCAGAATGTTGAAACCTAGTCACTCCTGGGGGAATGGTAAGGCTCTTAGGTGCTCTCAAGGACAGCAGAGAAATGGGGAATAGTCAGCTTAACTCTGCAGGTCGGGGGCCATGACTTGGGAAGGGGAAGAGGGAGTTGACCACCTTCTTACTTAACCCTGAAATTGCAGTTTTAGCCAACGCAGACATGATGCTTTTATTATTCACCATGCCAGCCACCATGAGGTGTTGGAGCTCTTACCTACTTCCCACTATGACGAAACAAACTAAAGAAATTGTGGGCTCAAGATCACCAGCTCATGTGGACATGGAGGTGCTGGAGGCCAGGTGTTCTCTTGCAGGTTGCTCTGCATGGTCCTTGCACCAAAATCTGCTGCCTCTCTGTATCCCTCCTCCCCTGCTCCCACCCTTCTTCATGCTCTGAAAGGAGGAAGGGTTGACTCTTTGCTCTCCGCCATTACCCTCCTGAGTGTGC